CACAACAACAACAAATAAGAAACGATATGATATTTCCTTTTGTGACTCTCACTTCTTAAGCCATTTGATAGACAAGCGTAATGAATGGTCCATTTCAGGAACAAACTTTTAAATAGAGAAGCATTCTAATTTTCTTAGGCTCCGCAAATATCTAATTAACACAGACGATGGGAAAAAGCAGACCCCCAAAAAACCTTATTTAAAAAAACTACAGGAAAAGGTAGCCTTCGTGATATGGGAGAAAGAAAGGCCGGGAGCGGAAAGGATAGAAAAGGGAGAGGGGATATCAGTCGTCACTTCCTCTGAGTCCAGTTGAGCGGTAATATTAAAGAAGCAGATAAAAGTGCAGTACCTGTACCTTGATTCCGCTTTTGCTATCGCTACACTGACGAGAAAAGTTGGTTGATATTCTATCGTTTTAGTTGCCTGCGTGCAGACGTCTCCAATTTCCTTTGTTGCCAATCGTTTTAGTCGCAGCCTGTTGTCTCGAATGGACACAATTTGAGCACCTGTTATTTTCCACTGAGCGGGAAACTAAAAAGATACTGCGGAATTTTTAATTTGTAGCCTGCAAGCAGGCTCACTCTGCGTTTTTATTTTCATAGGGTCTTCTTCTCTTGATATGTCGAGCCGGTTGAAGAAGTACAATGAAAAACTCAAACACAATGTTCCGATTTAGGGATTACCTCCGAAGATGGCATTTTATTCAAATACCGTGCGCGTTTGTACGGATTAACATTAAGCCTTTTTTCATAAATATTTGAAATTAGTTTCAACCTTTCATTGTATTAAGAAATATCCTGCCATTGATACGGAAAGTAGACTTAGTTTTGGCAGTTTCACAAAAAGAAATCTATATGTTGTGCAGCTAAACTGGGGGCTTTCCAATCACTTTGAAAAAAAGAAAGTCTCTTAAAATGACATGCCACTCAACATAGTATGCAATTATGGGGGGGGGGGAATTTCAAGGTCCACTTTCCTATTTCTTAACAACAGCTGCTTATTTATATTTTGTGGTGTTTGTGTTTGTTTCTTTTCCTTTTCATCTGTACAAAAGGTTTGAAGAGCTTAACCCGATCTACATCTTCTGTTACGGACATAAGAATGCGGGTCTCGAGTCCGCTTTTGTCTGTAAGCCGCAGTGTTGCTCTTTATCTTCCTTTTTTTTTTTCTCTTCTTTATTTCATTGGGTGCAAAAGAGAAGAGAAAAGCGAGTAGTGTTTTATCTTTACAACTGCCATAAATCACGGCTCTTTGACGGTGGCGCACGAATAATCAGAGGGTGGTCGTGAGTTCCGGCTAGGCAGCAGGTTAAACAACTCACACGTCATCGCGAAGGGTGGCATACTGTCAGTGATATTACATTAGGGACTCCTAGATGCGTTTGCAAAAACAACTAAAACTATTTCTGAGCTATTTTCTGCAAGTTTCTATCGTGAGAAGATCCGTTGTTATTCCATGGCTTCAGTTCTGCTCGGAATTTTTTTTTTTCCACTGGTAATAAGAGCTAAAAAAAAGATATGCTAAGTCAGCAAAACAAGGGGCGCTTTCCATTTAGGAAAAAAAACCGGAAATTTCGGTGGGAGCAAAAGTGGAATTTCCTATTGGTAAAAAGTTGTTCCATTTGGTCGTAAACCCCGGTACGTCTCGGTGCCCGACGGTGGACCTGGAACTGGTACAAACTACGAGAAACGTAAATGGAACACGACATTCCGTTCGGAAATTCCAGCCGGGGAAACGGGACCACCTTTTTAGATTTTCCACTTTTTCTGGGAATTTTCCAGTGGGATGAACCGACGAAACCTGTTCCATTTACCGCCGAACCGGAAATTCCGGAAATATTGACTAAATGGAAAGCGCCCAAGAACTGGAGCACTTGAAAACGTCAAGTCATGTTTGCGCAGGCTCTACCAGCGAGAGCCTAAAAACTGTCCGTCACACTCGGTCACCTGCCAGTCGATAGAAACTGCCGATGGCTTCTTCTGTCATTTTAAGACACTTCGAAAAATGTCACTGTTAACCGTGTGTCTACTCGTCCAATCAGCAATATTGGGTTTTGAAGTAAGTGTTACACACGCACTCACAGTATCGATCAATTTATGCAAGGAATGGGCAAACTTCGAGCTTAGAGGAATTGCTTTCACAGAAGTTACGAGTCAGTAAATTTTAAAGTCTTAATAACGTGATAATATGTTTTAATCGCGAACGTAACTCCAAAAATTTTTGGACTAACTTCGCGAGATTGAAACATGTATTACGTGGTTTTGCGCTTTTTAGGGCCCCATCCGGCAATCGCGACCTCACGCAACACGTGGAAATTATAGAGATCAGAGACGAGACCTCAATTTAGTCACGACTTCCTATCGTTGCTTCCTTGGAACAAGATAAAATAAGGAAAATATTGGCTCTCTAATTACCTGAATGGTAATATTTTCCTATAAAGCGTCAATAATCGATGAAGTAATCGACGGTTGTTTTTTTGAAGTATTACCTATAAACTTGGTAAATACCTTTATAAGAAGCATGCTATTACGGCACGCGTTCAATACGGGGAGTGAAAATCAAAGAACGCTGAAGCCTGGTAAATTTTTAAATAATTTAATTCGAAGTTTGTGACTCTCTAAATTAATATTTTGATATAATGAAACGCAATTGACTCGAGAGGCAGGATATTTTTGCTGAAGAAATTGCACTCCTTTAGGCGGAAAATAACGATACCGTCAACTTGACCCTATCTGAACCAGGGTATCAAAGAATAAGTCGGTTCTAACAGCTCAAAAGAAAGACTTTCATAAAAGTCGTTCGTCGGATTTAATATGGCTCGGCACGAACCGTAACGACTGAGTGTCAAAATCAAGATTTATCGGCCACCTCGGGCAAACAAAATAAATGTTCTACTACACTGAACGCCAAAATAAAAAAATAAAAACCCACTCCTTTAAGTATGGAGTAATCACAATTTCACGTGATTATTGGTCTTCAAATGATTTTATTTCAGTAGTTTATCGCGGCGGAAGCTGATATTAGCTATTTGAATGCCCACTCAGTTAAACAAATTGTTTTGGAGAGAGCTTTTTAGCACCTAAAATATATTATGATAAGTTATTTTTAATGTCCGATAATTTCCTTTCAGACGCAAACAAAATGGTTAACTTTTTGATAACATGAATATATTGCCAGGCCATGCAATAGGATAGGCCTTTCTTTCAGATAAAGCCCTTTGTAGCCTTGTATACTTCTTTTGATGAATCCATACTTCAAACTAACAACACTGTTAAATCAAATCTTACTTTGTCTAATTTCGCATTCTCTTCCAGTTGGCTACAGCATCAACTAGCTGTCCGTCCGCCGATCAGTACTGGAATGGCACGTCATGTACCTCTTGCACCAAGTGCGGGCCAGGGTACGGAGTGAAAACAAAATGTAGCGAAAAGCAAGACACAGAGTGTCAAGAGTGTTGGCCTGGATATGATTGGTCAAACAACACGAGTATGGAACCGTGTATGGAGTAAGTTGAATTACACGCAGTAGCTGTGCTTGTAGTTTATTTTCGACAAATGAAATATTTGCTAGCAAATAGGATTTTTATGCTCCCTATCACTTCCTTCTTAATATTGTTGTATCGTTATTGTGAAAAGGCAGAACTATTTTCCTTGTTATGTAATAGTAGCATTCACGTGGCAAGTGGCCAGCGGTATCCCATATTGACCACACGTACGCGCGATTCCGAGTGGATCAAGCACACTTGCCTCAAACTGGTGGACAAGTAAGCTGAAGCTTTTCCCCTCCCAACCCTGCCCAGTTGCCATGTTGTTTGCGTTTGTTGTGGCCCTCACCTTTACTGGGCCAAAGTTTCAACAAATTTGTAACATTCTTAACAATTTTATTTTTTTGGAAATTGTCATTTTGATTGAACTTATTTCCTTAATAAACTGGCTTTGTTTTTTACCCATAGTCCTTTACGTTCAATCTTGGCTTGTTATCTGGTTATCTATGCAGCCCAGCAAACAGAGCTCAGGCAAAGCAGTTATATCGGCCTTTAAACCCTCTAAGGAAGTTATAGGAAGAACATAAATAAGAGTTAATAAAATTAATAGACGTCTTTAGCTTTTATGTTTTAAAGGCCTCAGGGGAATTCCCCCTTTGACTTTTCACAAATTACGAGTACATATGCACGGGAATATAAAATGAATTTGAATGAAATAGTCATCTAGATTATTATCACATGACCTACGTTGGAAAAAACAATACATACAAGCTAAAGAGGTCTTACTATTGTTTTGCGCACTGGTAGGTTCGTAATCGAACGCTGTCTCAAAATCAATGCTGCGCACAAAAATGAAGGGTGAACATTGGCCTTAGAGAAAGATGGGTTAATTAATTTATTTAATATTTAATTTATTAATTTAATTAATAGATGGGTGTTGTATCGAGGCGTTTATAATATTTGAAAGTTTTCCTTGTTTACGGGCTAAAAAAGCTAAAAAAGGGTCTTCATTCTACACTTTAGACTAAATGGTAACGCCGATGTGGGTGAGCACAACACAAACAAAATAAAGTCAAAGTTAGAAAAAGTTTCTTCTCTTATCATGTTTAACAGACAAGTTTCACAAACAGAACCAATTTACAGGAAAGATAAACGCATATAGGCGAAAAAAGATGATAATTGTTCTGCAGTTCTTTGTCGAAAAACAAAAATTTACGAAATATATATCTCGAAAGAGTATTGATTTGTAAAATTATGCTCTCCTGGGTTTTTAGACAGTTAGACATTTTAAGGTTGGGTTATTTAATTGATCGGTGTTGTGTCGTTTGGCACTTTTGGGCTGTTTTAGATTTACGAAAATGATACACTGAGCCAATAAAGGAAATGTTAGTGTCCTTAAAACAGTGCCATAGTACCGTTCGACACAACAATGGCCCAGTCTCTGGCTCAGCCACAAACTGGCCAATAAAACAAACCTCATTAAAAAAAGCATCTCTCTCTCTCTCTCGACAGCTGTGTAAATGAAATCTCGGAATGTCCGGAAGGAAACTTCAAGATAATTCGTAACTGCACAACAACGTCCCCGACTATATGCAAAGGCTGTGCTGAGGAGCATTACTTCCATTCAGGCTACGGAGAGCATGGAGGTTGTGTTCCTTGTTCACAGCCATGTGGTGTTTTTTATTTAGAGACAAGGAAATGCGAAACAGCTCATGACCGTATCTGCACACCGTGGAATCCACCTACAATGGTGGGAAAAAGTAAGTATGTTAAAGATGGACCTAGCGCTCTCAAGATGACACCTCGGACCTTATTTCCTTTATTATTCTTTACTTCCTTATATTAATTAATTTGTTTATTTATTTCCCACAGATCTCAATTATGACAAATTACTACCTATTTTTGGTTCGATCTATTTGTTAAGAATAACTCTTAAAATTTCTCTATTTGGATAGAGGAAAAATAGGAAACGACTTAAGGACATATCAGGGAGCCTCAGGCATAGTCAAGAAAACTACGTTAATATGTTTATTTGTTGTTTTTGTGGTTGTTGTTGATGTTGTTGTTTTTTTATTTTTCTTTTACCGAAGTAGTGTGTGTGTGTGTCGGTGAACAGCTTTATGGGATTTTATGATTTTATTTTCCGGCTGGTTTCCTCTCGGCAAATGGAACGGAAAATGATTTTCCTTTCAATTCAAGTTTATTTCAAATATCTCTGAATTGACTCAAGTATCATTTTTGTTTTTGTTTTTTTGTACAGTAAGATGTTACTAACCCCGATTTTCATAAACAGCTCCTGTAATCCCGCCCAGCCGGGTCACCCCTTTGTGATGGTAGGGTCACTCTCCTACCTGGGCAAACTTTTCTCCATATAAACACTTTGGTTCGCCCAGGCGGGTCAACTCAGTGAAGGCGAGACAATCAGAGCATGCGCGGGAGCTGTTTTAGACAACAGGAACTTTGAGATCCAACGACCCGACGGCAACAAGGACGTCGCTTAAAAAGTGAATTTGCGTTCTTCAGTCTTTATAACGATTATTCCTACCCACTTTGTCAAATGTAGGCAAACCCTCCTGAAGCTGAATTTCATGGGACCATAGCCAAGCTCAGAAGGGAAATAAAATTTCGTCGTTGCTTTACGTCCTCCATGAAGGTGATTTTACACGGGACGATTCGCAACGACGATTTTCTGCGCAACACAGCGTTGCAATGTTGGAACCATACAGTAATCATTGGAAACAATGTTGCAACCCTGTGTTTAGCTAAAAATCGTCGTTGCGAATCTTCCCGTGTAACATCACCTTAAAAAGCAAAATTAGGCATTTTCACGTCGTAGTCGTGCAAAAACAGGAAAGAAATGTACAAAAACGGGTGATGCACGTACGAAGTTGTTCAGTTTGCTTATTAAAACAATTGTTTTTTGCCGTCCTCGTTGCTGTCCGAGTTGTTGGATCTTAAAGTCTTTAATCAGAGCATAGGCGAGCACTGTTGGGTCGGACAAAGCAGTCAGCTTTCTTCTCAAAATACGTATAACCGCTCGTTAAGGTTGACTCGGCTGGGAGGGTGACCGTCTTTCCCGCGATTGTTTTTTTCTTTACATAAGAGGGGCCTAAGAATATTTTATAGTTAAACACATTTAATCAAAAAAGTAAACGTTTAAAAAGAAAGAACTTTCGACCATCCAATGGTCATTTTCTTCCATGCTATCAGTGGCCTCTTTTCCCTGGTATGGGGCAGGGAAAAGAGGTCACTACTAACAGGGAAGTCATTTTCAACTTCAGGATTTATAAGAAGTAAAAAATAGCAAGTGCATATATACAATTGTGAATGGACTAATGAGATAAAGACTAAAAACTGATGGGACTAAAAAGCGTTCTACTCAGTATCTCATTAGTCCATTCACAATTGTATATAAGCGTATGCTAATTTTCACTTCTTCTCCTGAACTTAAAAATGACCATCGTTCTTTTTTTTAACGTTAACTTTAATTCATAGTTAAATCCGTTTCGAAAACTTTGCTTAAAAAAATTGTCAGATTTAAGTAAGTATATTGATAATTACTATCAAGTAAACGCGATAAGTTTTGTTTTAAAGGAGCCAGGAGAGGACAGGTTCACTGACCATGTCCACCGATCTATCTTTACAGCGTCTACTCCTGTCCAAGATCAGACTACAAATAGTTCAAGTAGCGGCCCTTCCTCAAAGGCAGTCACGGTCACAGAACTTCCCGCACATGAGAACGTAAAGAATGATGTACCCGAGAAGGCAACAGGGGAAAACAAGTTATTGTTTTTGTTGTTCCTCCTTTTTGCCTTCCCAATAATAGGAATCGCTGTATTCTGTTGCAAAAGAAGAAAGAGTCGGAAGCCTGAGGAAAAGGACGCCAGAAAGGTTGAACAAACCTGTCCTCTGATGTCACGTAGATCACGTAAGTTACTGATTAAGGTGGCTCGATACAGTTTTTCAGGGTCAATACCTCTCAAGTTTGAGCATAAACTACGTCGCCAAAAACAAAGTTTTGGAAAATTTGCCACCACAGTTGTATTAGATAAAGATGAAAATTTGTTATGATCAGTGTTGCAACGGCATCGGAGTTGTCATAGCAACGAAATGACGCTAATGCCTATTTTACTTGCAGCGGTATATATCGGCACTGGGAACTGTTCTTCGAAAATCGTTCACGGGAGCTTTTTCCTCCAATAGCAGCCTCGATGTTCGTGAAGTTTGAGCGAAATCTGTAAGAGCGTTATCGAGATATTTTGCGATAATGTTTTTATTGTAAGTTAGAAACACAGTAAAAAATGGACAATAATGGTGTTCGGCTGTTATCTATAGAAAACGAAGCGCTTTTGACATGCAATTTCACCTCATAGTAGTTTCAATCTTTTTAAAAGCGTGTGTGTGAGAGATCATGGGAGATAGCTCCAGCCGATTGCAAGAAAGAAGGGTTTGATTAGTATGTATCAAAGCGCTCTTGTTAGCGGTTTTGTAAACATTTTGGTCTGCTTTAACAAGTTAGCGAATAATTTTTAAACCGCTCCATAGGTTTTTTTAAAACTTTAAGATTCCTGACATTAACCTTCCTTTTATATGACCTTTTAGTTTCAAGTTTATTGATATACTGTAAGACAGTAAAATAAGGGCTACAATTCGTTACTTTTTTATCGGAAGTTTCGTCATTACAAGTGAGCATAAAATCAAATCCTTCTTTCTAGCAAACGGGTGGAGCTATCTCCTTGATCTTTCACACACGTTTTTAAAAAGATTGAAACTACTATGAGGTGAAATTGCATGTCAAAAGCGCTTCGTTTTCTATAGATAACAGCCGAACACCAAGATTGTCCATTTTTTACAGTATTTCTAACCACAAAATCTTTATCCCAAAATATCTCGATAACGCTATTACAGATTTCGCTTAAACTTCACGAACATCGAGGCTGCTATTGGAGGAAAAAGCTCCCGTGAATGATTTTCGAAGAACAGTTCCCAGTGCCGAGATATACCGCTGCAGTAAAATAGGTAATAGCGCCATTTCGTTGCTATGACAACTCTGATGCCGTTGCAACCCTGATCATAACAAATTTTCATCTTCATCTTACACAACTGTGGTGGCAATGTTTCCAAAACTTTGTTTATGGCGACGTAGTTTATGCTCAAACTTCGGGAATTGGCCCTGAAAAACTGTATCGAGCCACCTTAAAGCGTCAGAATTTATTTTTTATGGTCTTAGTCTAGAAACTACAGAAGTAGAGAGAGCTCTATTCTTATTCCTGCAATGTTGTTTAAAATGCAAGGGGTAACGACCATAAGTCTTTAATTAAACTTCCTGACAAACGAATCAGTTATGCTTGTACTAATGCTCGGGTGACTGGTCAAGTCCAAGATTCCAACCTCCCTATCCATGACACTATCACTAGTCAATCACTCCCCTTAAGTTAAGATTTATCAGTCAGAGCAATGTTTTTTTACTGGACTAGCCCGCAGGAAAATTTCCCAGCCTGCGTAGCTGGCTGAATTGTTTTTTGCGCCTGTGAGAGTTTTGGGGGCAAAGCCGGCGCGAATGCATGAAGGAAGCGAGTGCCGAAGGCGCGAGAAAATTCAAAGCGTCTCCTCCCCATTCTTCGCACGGCCTCGTGCTCCTACTAACGATCCCGCCGGCTACCCAGGCTAGGAAAATTTCTCTGGGTTTGAGTTGATTTCTCACTTGAAACTCTTATCAAATTGTCAAAAACATTTCGTATTAACTCAATATTCTTCATCCTTATTATAAGTATATGTATGCATTAATATTAATATTCAGGTGGGCTAGTTTCTTTTTTTCTCCAGGTGGCTTAGATACGTTGGTCCGAGACGTAGTTGTTGAGGACAGGCGGAAAATCACAAGTTGGCTTAATGAAAAAACCTCAGATGGTAAATTGCAAGTTTACTTAGTCTTTAATTTGTTTTATGGGAATAACAGGCGAATTGAAACCATTCATGGAAAGCTTGAACGAAATTTTTCGGAGCTAAAGAATAGGCCATTTCCAAGTTCCAAAAACCCTTACTTATAAAACGAGGCTAAGAGCAAAACCTCTCTTGTGAAAATGAGTTTTATTTGTACGAGAATATAAAAATCATTTTCATGTATAGCTTCGCACTTATCCTCACTTTGAAACAGAGGCTTGGAACAACTAATTTATAGGAAACCGGCTATGTTCTGTGTTCTTGGTGCCTCCGCTAAGATCTCAACGGTCAAGCCGTTTTACAGCCACGTTTTTTTCTCGTGTCCTCCTCCCATTATCTGGAGACTACGCTTCCTAGGTCAACCATTTGTGTTCTCTACTGACAATTTTAAAAACAACTTAAAGAGTGTTTGCCTCTTTACTCCCAGGGGCTTCCCAGGAAAAAAAATTAGTCGATGAGGAAGGACAGCTGTCGTCAAGTTTCGTTTGAATGGTCACATATCAGGATTTCATCCAAAGAATCAAATGTTAGAACCACCTGGTACAGCATAATAAACAGTACTCAGAAGAAAGTACTGCTCAGTAGCTTTCTTTTGAATGGTCACACTATAGGATTTCATCGATATCCAAAGCTCTAGTGAACAGTACCACAGGAAAGAAGTGCTTTCATTTTAACTTTACGATTAATTTATTTTTTAAATTTCATTGACATGCTTAAAAGTAAGAACCGTTGTGAATAGTATTATAATTGAGTAGCGTTCATCTCACGCTTTTTTTCACAGTATTTTTGGAAGTAAATAAATGGGTCTATGGAAATTTGATGAGTTGATGAGTTATACCAATTACATTTTTGTTCTTTGTCAATTTAGGTTATTACCACTACCAATTAGTTTCAGAAAAACTGGGATTTTTACAAGAAAGTCGACAATGGAGTCGATTTGACAACCCTGCAGAGAAATTTCTAACCGCTTTTGGTGAAAAGGAAAATTGCACCATTTTAAAGTTAGTCGACGCTTCAAAGCAGGTGGGGCTGACTCTCTTTGCCAGAAAACTGGAGGAGAAATTCAGCCAAACAAACCATGGCCAACACAGGGACGAAAATGCAGAGGACCAGGTGTAGTATAAATTAGATAAAGGGGATCTTTACTTGCTTTGTTGCCGCGATGTAAATCGTGTGACGATGCTCAAGTGGGTTTTCCTTAAAATTCGGACATATGGACATGCGCCGTCATGTACAAAGACTTTTGATTTACATTGAGGCAACAAAAAATGCCAGCGAATAAGGACAACAGCGTTGTTTTTGACAGAGTCGTTAATTCGAAACCCTTATTCATCCTCTGGCCAATCAAATGAGCCAATCAAACCCCAAAAAGAATATATTACGTTCGCAACGATTGATTTTGTTTTACTAGCTCCTGATTGGTTAAGAAAAAACACGTGCTTTTTCAGTCAATCACAATTAAAGGGGCTGTGTCACGGCAGTCCAGTTCATTTTGTTTAATTTTGCCAATTACTCGCCCTCAATCGCTATGGAACTGAAAGTAAGCAAAGAAATTACATGTAAATGACAAAATCAGAGATCCGAGACAAACAAATATGTCTCCTGAGCATTATTTTTGAAGTTGCAGGCAGCAGGGATCAACTTTGAAAAACTGTTAGGCTGAACAGTTTTCAAAAACCCTAATTTCAATCCGTTTCAGTCTTCTTCAGTTTTACCTATCCGTTGCATCTGTTGTTTCTGTTATGTTATTTTAACCTTCCTTTAAAGTTTTAAGCGGTTATTTTTATGTTTCTCTTATTTTAACGGGCATGTTGTAATTACCTAATTTGGCTGAATTTCGTGACACAGCTCCTTTAAACCAGTGCAAAATCAAAGAAATAACAAAATTTCTGACTGTACTTGAGTGAAAATTACTCCAGTTTTAGAAATTTCAATTTGGTCTTAGCCAAACTTAGTCTGAGCCAAATATCTGTAGTTCACAGTTTCATTTATAGATCCTTTTCTCATGACGTCACGTCCTCCATATTGAAATGCTAATACACTAAAACGGCTGCCATATTGGTGTATAAAAACAATTATGTGGTTCTTTAGTTGCGTAGAATTTTAGTAATGAGTTTATACAGGCTCGCGACAAATGAAGACGATGATGGCTCCAAAATGGCGGCTTCTAAACTACCCCATAAGGAGGAATATAATCAGATGGGTATAAGGCCATTTTCTATTCATCAGGGTGTCGTATTTTACTTTGAAAGCTGTGTGTGTGAGCCCTAGCAAGCTTAGCTACAAAGGGGTGGGGTAAGGGAAATATCCAGCCTAAGTTAGAAGAGGGGTGTGTCGTATATCAAGTTTTCTGTTCAACGTATATAAAGGAGGAAGAATTTGCATTTTTTAATCTTATTTATCACTTCACTCGTCAAATATTTACATCTCGACCTGACTGGTCTCCAGTGGTCTCTTTTGATTGAAAGTCGCGGGTGACCAGCGTGACATCACAAAACGAATGGGATATCAGTTTTATACTGTCCTGTGAATATCAAAAATAAATACAAATGAGAGATCAATATAGGGACGATTCGGAATCCCAACGATGATCCATGGTCAGCAAAGTTTCGGTCCAACAAGCTAGGCAGGGTGAGTTAAAAAAATATCAATATTTAATATATATCTCATGGGAGTGAAGGTTATCTAACGTTGAGCCATTCCCATTTATTTACGAATTTTGGCCAAGAAACCAGGCTTGTTGGACGCTGGGGTAAAGCATACATGAATAATGTAGTACGTATGAGAGTAGTATATAACATGGAAAGTCATCCTTTTGTATTTCACAGCAGAAACCTAAAAAAGCTTGTTATAACATAGTCGAAAGCCGTTTTATGTCGATGCTCACGGTGCTACTGAGTAGACGTCACTTTCTGTTTTGAATAGACAGCAAATTAGTTATTCGTAATTTATAGGGTCTGGGGCCCGTTTCTCGAAAGTCTCAGAAAATTCGGGCCCAAAGGCAAATTTTTAAAGTCAAACCCGTTGAATAGTAGAGCAGCTCCTAGCTCACAAACCAGTCAAGTTTGCTTCGTGAACTGATATTTTTACTAGATCATTTTCAAAATTACTGGAACCTTGGTCTTGAATGCAAACATGCACGACAAAGACGAAATAGCTTTTCGGGGCGGAAACGTTATCGGGACTTTGAAACAGGGCTTGGAAAGAAAGGTCCGCCAAATCGTGTTTTTCGCCATGAATCCCGCATTCGTGCTCAAATTTTGGCGAATCCTGCCTCCCGTAACAGTTGAAACCCAATATCCCGTTAACGTTTCCCGAATCCTGCACTTTATTTTGGTCAAATCCCGGATCGCGGAAAAAAACCCTTCCGGACCCTGAATTCAGGCTGACTGCTACTTTCGTCAGTTTTTTAACTAAGCATTTGAAAGACGAAAGAAGCAATAAGAAAATTAAATAAATCATATCATTCATATTGGTATTTCCTTAACTCTCTTTGCTTGTTATCGTATTTCAATCGGTAACACTACGTATAGAAATAGTAATGCTGAATAGACTTGTTGTTGTAATTTTGTTGAATTTAGGGTACTGTTTTGATAAATGTATAACTTTTGAGTGTTAGTCCACGGAATAACGGCTTTGTGTAAGTTAGAGACAAATTGAAATAATGTCCTGTTTTGATTTCTTCAGTATTTTGTTCTAATAAAAGACGAATTTTTAACTCAAGGACTACACTCTGTGTAATATAATACAGACTCTTTCCATGGTCCCTTTGGTGTACGTATTATGGCGGAGCCTTAAGTTACTATAACGCTTTCTTTTAAGATGAAATTTCGACCTTTACTACATTTCTCGCGTGTAGACGAAAGGCATTCATTTTTATGGCGAAAAGTGTCCCATGCATAGCTATTTTAGATTGCCCAAATATTCATTACCGGCTATTTATAGTTATTCGCCATAAAAAAAACGACGCAGAAACGTTGATATATAAGGAACTGCATAACGTCCTTTTTTATTTTTATTCAATAATGCATGATTCCTCGCGAAGCGAGGCGCGAAGCGCCGAGCCGCGAGGTTTGTAATCTCGTCGCGCGCGAAGCGCGCATGTATCATACGAGGATCGCAAGGCCATCGAGTTTGGTTGGTGTCCGCCTTGACGTCGTCCAGAGTAGTGACGTCAAGGCGCATTATGGGTTTCCAGGCAACCGATTGCCATCGACGACAAAGCTCTGGGTTTTATTTTTTCATCTGTGAATTATAACAATGCTTACGGTCGGTGAATTACCACCCAGCATCTCAGGCAAATAAAAGAGAACAGAAAACTCAACAACGGTGGATTTAACAAGTGGCTGGAAATCCTCGGTGGGAAAGATTTACAAACAAAACTCCGCAAGAGCAAGAACGTCGACTAAATTCAGCGCGAGCGACGGCACAGCGAAGGCAAACACTGTTAACTAGAGACAGGCTATACAGCGACCACGAATATCTAAGAGGCAGCAACAACTGCAAACGAAGCCGACGAAGAGAGGGAACACCGACTGGCGACATTTCAGCAAAATCCGGTCAATAGAATTCGCACCGAAACCGAAGAGAGGCAAGTTTACACTAAAAATTACCTTCTTCGTTGCAACGATAGGAAGCAAGAATTACACCATCTGTAAAATCGACACAAGGATTATCTTTCCAGCTGAGGAAAGCCGATCAGCCTTTTCACCGTTTTGCAGTAAGCTTTATTTTACAATGAACAGTTTAGAACACCATTAATGTGTGACATGTAGGGAAGCGTTACATTTTGTAAACAAAATCCTTACTGGACAATTTTTTTCGTTTAAGCTTATTTACAATTTTCATTCACTTTCCTTCACAAGTAAAATATATTTATGTATAGCAACCTTATACATAAACACAGCTATGTCTTTAAAGTCAAACATGACAAAAATGTGTTATTGCTGGCCCCCTATATTTTCGTTCCTATATTATTCGAAAATAACATCTCAATTTCTGATATCCTCAGAATATTAGTGTGTGACATGGTTGCCATGCCAGGAACGTTAAGTCCTTTCGCTGTTAGGGAAAATTTAACAGGTCACTCATAAAATTTCACTTTTTTAAAGAAGTGAGACAGAGGTGACGTATTCACAGAAATAAAACATTTGTTCCATTGGCAGAAGAAGATTGTTTCAAGAAATTAGACGATATGCAAGCAGATATTTATATAGGGTTTCCCAAAAGATCAATCCATCCTGCACTTAGCTTTACATTCACGATAAATGCATGTAATAAAGGGAAAGTGTTCATTTGACTCGTCTCAGTCACATTTCACAAATAATTATT